GTGCCAGCCTCAGCCGCGCAGAAAGGAACTGCTGTGTCACCCGAAGGGAGCTGTTAGCTGTCGTCCTGGCGGTGCGGCACTCCAGATCCTATCTCCTGGGCACCAGATTTGTGTTGAGGACGGACCATGCCAGCCTCACTTGGCTCATGAATTTCCGCCAACCTGAAGGACAGGTGGCGCGGTGGTTAGAGGTGCTCCAGGAGTATGATTTTGAGACTCGCCACTGTCCGGGACGGCAGCACACCAACGCTGACGCACTCTCCCGTCGCCCCTGTATGACAGAGGACTGTCGCTATTGCAGCCGCTTTGAGGGGGGAGAAGTGGGGCAGCCTGAACTACTCTACCAGCAATGGCGAGCCCCGTGCCAAGGGGCTGATCGACTGCAGCTGTTGGTTCTGTCCATGCTCAGGTTGGAGGTTCTGCACTGGGTCCATGGAGCAGCGGGGTCGGGGCACTTCGGCAACGCGAAGATGGCGAAGCGGCTGCGGCAGAGGTTCGGGGGGTCATCAGGAAGCGGAGCTGCACGTCCACTGCTGTGATGTCTGCACGGCGCAGAAAGGACCGACACGATGCTCACAAGCTGCTCTGCAGCAGTATCTGGTGGGGGCTCCCATGGAACAGATAGGGGTGGATATTCTGGGGCCATTTCTGACCACAGAGGCCGGCAATCGCTACATCCTGGTGGCGATGGATTATTTCACATAATGGCCCGAGGCGTATGCGGTGCCGGATCAGAGTGCAGCCACTTCTGCTCGCTGCTTGGTGGACAAAATGTTTGCTCTGTTTGGGGTCCCGGAGGAGCTGCACATTGACCAGGGGTGGAACTTTGAGAGCCGTCTATTCAGCGTATTGTGTCAGCGGCTGGGAGTGAAAAAGACATGGACTACATCGCTGCACCCTCAGAGCGACGGACTGGTTGAACGCTTTAACCGCACCCTGGCCACCCAGCTCGCGACCCTGATCAGCCAGCATCAACGAGACTGGGACCAACACCTGCCGCTGGTCCTGTGGGCGTACAGGACAGCTGTGCAGGAGTCCAGCCACTGCACACCAGCGACTTTCATGTTTG